CATATTTTTATATAAAATTATATATTTATATAATTTTCAAAAGAGCCACTCCTTGGTCGTTTCTGACTAAATGCTTGCAACTATTGACGATAAATCTTATTAACGGCGCGAAAAACGATTGTAAACTTGTCCATAAAGATAAAATTTTGAAATTCACGATTTTCGAGTTGTTTAGTATTTTTCGAATATGTTTATTATTAGTATTGCGATTTTTATTATTCTATAATATTTTGTTGTTTTTTCTCTTTCATCTTTTTCGTTTCATTTTTTTCTCTTTTATTTTTATGCGATAGTGTTGGCTGGGTAACTTCACTGCTCATTCTTTTTCTAATTTTGCATATATATAAGTACATCAAAGTTCTCGGATCCTCGCTGATTTCAACGAGTTTAGACTCTAAAACAAGGCTGCCTATTTAATGAAAGATCTTGTTAGTGATGTTAAACAATTTATATCTAGTCAAAATATATGCCAATCATATTTAATAAAATCTGCATGCTATTTTACGATAGCAGACTAGCAGAGTTAATAGAAAGTTACGAAATACTTAATAATATATTCTCGCGAGGAGCACTCCAGAAAAAAAATTAAAACCTTGTAAAAATGTACCTGTAAATACGAGAAAGGACTAGGATCCATTTTGAATTACAAGATTCTGTCCTTTAGATGGAATGGAAAAAATTAAAATCAAGCTTCCAATCTTCTGGCGCTAATTTTAGGGAGATTAGGGGTTCAAGTGAATTTCATAATTTCTGCAGAATGCTTGATTCTTGTAAAGACATTGTAACCAACAGCATGGTTTACCAATCATAAATTCATTCCTTCCATCTTGAAACGGTCCTGCTACTTTGCTTGATACAATCACTACGAGGGTGATATCATTATAAAACGTAGAGAGAAAAGAGAAATTAATTAATTACACCGTTCGAATCGTAACGATTTCATATGGGCGTGAATTTTTATATGTTTTGATAACACTTTGCAATATATGTAAAGAGCATAAAAGTAAAAAAAAAAAAGAAGAAAACGCGAACGGAATACGAGGAGACAAAATTTCCCGATGGTCAGCCGCTGTTTTTAATCGCAGTACCGATTCGATTAATTTCTTTTTCACGACCAAAGAGAGGTAACGCGAAAAAGTGGCTTTTTCTTTTTAATTTTTCTACCATGACATATTTCAGAACGGTGAGTGGTGAATGGTGTTGCGTGATTGTGTTGCGTTTGAATGTGTGAATAATTGAGAAGCGAGAGTTGGTTGTTGAATCGCGTTGTACGAATCGCTTATATCGATCAAAAAAAAAGGGAAATAAAATAATTAATGGAAATATGTTTGCGTTTGTTGAAGAGAAGAAAAAAGCACACATTTATTATGTATATTACGATTATGTATATTACGAGAGCGAAATGCCGCCGGACGATAATAAGCGTCTAACTTTATATTCAGATTCTCTTCTGTAGGTTTCATTAAAGTGCATTTCTTGTATGGTATTACAGTATTACAGTAGAAACATAAGAAAATAAATGAATGCAATAGTAAAATGCGTGCATTTCATTCGATCCCATCTTCCCGCGTGCGTTCAGATGAAAAAACAGTTTTTTTACTTCAGAGTAAAAACACCGAATAGAAATCTGAATTTTTACGATAAAAAACTGTTTTTTTGTCTTTAATCAAAGTTGATTTTTAAAAATATAGAATCTATTTTTTTTATTCGTCGTTAAAACATTTAATATTTATCATTAATATTTGTCATTTCGGTTTAATTAATATCTTTTGTCTTTATTTCTCTCTTTCTCTCTCTCTCTCTCTCTCTCTCTCTCTCTCTCTTTTTCTCTCGTAACCGAACATTTACATTGCTCAATTATATCTTTTGAGATTGAAATGAGAGAGATTGGATCTAAGAATATCCATGGCATATCATCACATAATTATTGTACTATAATATATTTTGATTATTTACTTTTCGATGAATAAAAATGAATTCTAGAACAATAAAATATAAATCAAAATCCAAGTCAAATATCCAAATAAAATACATATTTGAGTAAAAAACTTTCAGGTTTTTAAATCGATTTTTACTGGTTTTGCTCAAAATATTTAGATTTTTTCCGGAAATTTTTATTTCTACGCAATCCATCTATCCAACCTTTTCATCCAATGAAAAAAATTCTTATAATCTCTCGATATTCTTAAACAAATTTTATTGAAGATTTTTCTATTAAAAAAAATAAACTTTAGAATTTATAAGATTCGGAAATTATACAATGAGAAGTCTTAGAATATTTTAGAATTCACATATGCCAAGAATTTTAGAAAAGATCTAGTTTTTCATACAATACAATATAAATAATACATATTCAAGCTAACATAGGATGACAATGTGAAAATTAGTTTATTCCCATTGTTATTTTTGGTTATCTTCTCGGCTACATCAGAATCTGTGAAACCCTGCAACTTTGTCACGCTATATTTCTGAACTGAATACATTATATATTTTTTAGCTCAAAACTGTGTGTGAAATTTATACTCGAAGTCAGACAAAGACAGATAAATATGAATTAAATAAATAATATTTTATTTTCAATTAATTACAATGTTTCAAAGAAATTTTATTGGAAAAATTCGCACTCTGAAAAAATTACTACTTTGAATAAAAAATTCTCAAATTTTTAAATTTAATGTTCAAGCAAAAAATCTGTAGGATTTTTTTTAGTTGATCCTTTGGAGAACTAAGAAAAATATACGGTATGAATCGGTCAAAAAAGTATAATTATTTGAATTATCGAAAATAGACATTTTTTTAAAAATCTACATATAGAAAAAATTTATAATTAATAATTTTATTATTTGAACAATATAAAATAGTAAATAAAAGATTGCAATGTATAAATATTGTTGTATAATATATATAATATAATTATGTTTATTTAATTATACAAATGCATACATAATAAAATTTACTTGCACGGAGTACAAGTAAATTTACAAGTAGTACAAAGTTTTGATATGTGAGTCAGGCACATCGATTGCCGACAGCGCATACACATATATTGTGTTTTATGATCCACAAAATAGGGACAAAACGAACATCTTTTTTTCTTATCTAGTTTGTTGGATTCATCGGTCTTGGTCCCTCTTCTTGTCAATAAAATTTTCAATAAGATATCGCACATGAATTTGCAAATGTATCGTATTGTATCGATGCTCCAATAAAGGCATCACAAGTTGCATTGCCAAAGATAATAAATAATCATAACGCATTAAAATATCATTGTTTGCTTGCAAATTGTATAATATCATTGAATTGATCCCATCTTGATCGAGCATGCCACATCAGAAATGAACGGCCAGCGCCTTGTCATGCGACACGTCGTGTATTTTTGACACAACTGATTAAATGTATCTGTTTCCACCTTTTGTTTTATTGTAATATAATTTCTGGCTTATTTGTAGTCTCATCAATCTCGCCAGAGATTTTTTGTGGAGAGTGGATAGCAATAACACCATTTTATTTCTTTTGGGTGTGTATGAAACTAACGTCTTTCCTTCGTCATATAAAAATTTCGATTGTCCTATATCAGACGCGATTTTAAAACTATTAGGAACCTCTTTCTTCTTTTTTCTAATCGTGCCTATAATTGAAAGTTTTATTAGCGAGCTTTTCATTCGCTCTACAAGAGGAACTGATGTAAACCAGTTGTCGCAGGTTATGTTTCTGTTGCTTCCATGAGTGGGTTCGCTCAAAGTTCGAACATAATTATATGATGGTACGGATTCTGTGTCTTCTACTGTCACCGATCCTACATACAGAATCGCATTTAACATATAATACGTTTTAGAGTTTTTGAATCATTTAACATAACGATTTTTAATCCATATCTGTCAGGTTTATTTTTCGTATAAATGTAAAAAGCGTATCAGACGCGAAAGGAAAGCAACTGCTCGTCGATTGTTACATTTTCAGATGATATGTAATAACGCATACAATTAGCTATAAAGTCCTCCCAAACTTCACGAATCGACGCAAATATCTATCAGTTAATTTTCGTTCAAAACACGTTGTTTTATCATCAAAATGCAAATTTGCTAATAAGAATTTAAATCTATGTCGGGACATAGTGGCTCTACATGATAAACCGCGACCATGAATGATTAATGCTTGTCATCGTTGTTTTACGTATCCCAGCATAATAAAAAGCCCTATAAATGCTTTTAACTCTATAAGGTCAATACCATAATACGTTTATGTTTGAATGAAAGTTTTCTCCGGTTTTGTCCTTAAGTGTGTTTGCTTCTATTGATTCATTAGCATGCAACATAACTTCTTCTAGTAACGAGTTAGAAAAAAGTAGCGACCAAGCTTCAAGCGGAGAAATCACGTTCATCGCGGCATCTTGAACTTTGGGAAAAATAGTTTCAAAACGATCGCTTGAGCTATCTCGTGATTCGAGAAGCTTTGAATGACCATTTTATGTTTGCTGCCTGAACGTAAGAAAGAAACGGTCTCCCCGATCTGCGCCTTTCTTTGACGAGCTTGCTCTGTCTTCGTCCTGAACGTTATCGTTGTCTTCTTGCTGTTCCTGTTTGAGCTGTTGCTCAAGCGCTTCTCGACATTGTTCTGCTCGTCGTCCATTTCTTCGTCATCATATTTTTCTTCTGGATATTTTTCTTCAGATGATAGAGCAGCCACTACCTCCTGGAGGCTTCTGCTACTTAATTGCATGATACATAACCTATAAAATAACAAATTTAAAATAATTTTTAACTAAATTTTTTATAATTACAAAACTGCTTACCTGCATAAATTGCGTTTTTTTGTATTCTTTAGCAAGGTAAGAGTAATTTAGAGAATGATGCATTATTTGCTCTAAAGCAATAATCCGCCCCGAGCGATTTCTAAAGACTGTCAGAGATTATAAAATTTCTATTATTTATTACATTGAAATAATTCTTTTTAATTCTTCATCTTCGTGTACTTACTTTTATACTATCCGAAACTCAGTAAACATATATTTAATAAAAAATAAATTGATACTCAGAACGTCGAAAACTTACAAGCTAGTCACGTATGAATCCCAAATACCCTCTTTGAACTTTCGTCATCGAGACGCAAAAAAAATCCTTGCAGGCTTATTATATCTATGGATAGTTAAAAGTTTTTTTCATCCTCAATCCGAGTCTTCAAATTATATTGTAAAAAAGTTACAGCAATGTGAAAAATCGCATAAGGTACGTTGGACCCAAAAGTGATGAAGGTTAAATTAACATAATTATAATCGCAAATATTTCGATTCTGCTTTGGATTATCAATGCTCCATGTAAATTGTTAATAAAATTCAATCATCTAAGAGTAATAATGTAAGTGATGTCATCGAAACGTTATTAAGCTGTTCATGCGCGTCGGATATCAAGTCTCATCTGCCAAATTATAATTATGTTAATTTAATAAACCATTAAATAAACCAATTTTCACATTGTCATCTTGTGTTGGCTCCAATAAGTATTAGGTGTAGTAAAAACAAATTCATTATTTATGAAATTGAAGGGAAAAATAATGGATTTCTTTTTACTACATCTAATATTATTTGATTGTATTGATTTATCTCAATCGAGCTTTAATATTTAGTTTATTAATTATATATAGTTTTTCTTTCTACTTCTGAAGTGAATTAATCGTATAAAAAATTTGAGAAATTTTCTAAAAAGTTATAAAAATAATATAAAAATTGTGAAAAATTCTGAAATTTGTCTAGAAATTCTAAAAGAGATTGTATGAAAAATTCTAAGAAAACATTTTACCACTATAGAGATGACATCACAATTTGACCTTTTCTACAGATACTCTTGTTTTTTCCACATAAAATACGAATATGTAAGAAACACGAATAAAAATATCTCAGATAGGTGATTCGAACAGCTTGTGATAGTGATGAGACATATGAAAAAAACTGCAAAAAAACATTCGAGTCGAAGACTATCAGTGACGAAAATGAGTTCGCCAGAGAGAGAAACTGTTAAAAAAGGTAATAAAATATTACTTAAGATTTCTATTTATTAAGTCTTAAAGGTAAAATTTAATTAAAATTTAGAATTTAGAATTTACTATTAAATTTAATAAAAAATTTGTCTCAAGCAACTCTAGTAATGGTTATTATGCAAGCTACAATTAATTCTAAAATATAATCTTTTCATTAATATTACACATTAAGATTTGTAATTAATTTCTTTTATTAATACCGTTAGTATTTTTTTTCATAATAAGAATAAATGATAAAAGCATCATTGTGATTGTGCATCAATATTAAACACTTAAAAAAATAATGAAAAATCAATAACATTTAAATTGAGTGTTAATTATGATATCTATATGTATAAATTATAGAAAAATTATAAAAGAATAAAGGAGAAAAAGAATAAAAAAGCAATATAAAAATCAAGCTTTTCAATCTAAACATTCTCATCTAACATATCTATCTTAATATGTATATTCACCTTTGTCTCTAGTTTCTCTTCTTTGATTATATAAATATTTTCAATGTAGAGAAAATACAAAAAAATATATAATCATGACAAACACAGCTTTAACGAGATATCGCAATTGTACCATTTATCCTATCATCAGCAGTTACAAAAATATATACAAAAGGACAACGCTTTTCGATAGGACATCAAAGAGGAGATTATGATTAATGAGGACAAGTTTGGACCGAAGGTGTCTTTTATCGTAATGGTACAATCAGTTTAGCACTATCATCAGCCGATTCCAGGAGGAATGGGACGACGGAGGATACCGATGTCTTGATGCCGGACCTTTCGGCAGTCGGCAATGCCCGATGAGAACTGGTATTCAGACTCCGAACGGCGCGGTCAGCCGCTTCGTCCCAGCTCTTCCAGCTCACTCCCACGTAATCTGAAAAAGCCCGTGTTGGGCGTCTATGTGTAGCCTATGCGCGACAAGCTGGAAATACCCATAGAAATTATTAGATTACAATTCTTTATGAATATTATTTTCACTGCAGTTCTTAATTTTTTGTATTCCTAATGTTTTTTTTGTACTCGTTGAGTTTATCTCTTTTTGAATCCACATTTCTTTCTGTGCATTAGAAAAGTTTTTTCTTTGTACGTCTTCGCTTTGTAGTACAGAAAAGGGAAGGTCTCGTGAAAAAAATAGAAATATATATTTTTTTGAACAAGATACCAGGTACCGTTTAATCACCAGGTACCTTTTAATCCTCAAAAATTGAGCTTAATTTACTAAACTAACAAATCCTTCCATTTCGTAATTTTAACAATCTAGTCTCATAATTATTAAGTTATCTCAATGTTGTAGTCCAATATTCAATTATTAATAATTATTTACTTTATCGTTTTATGTGCGATATCAACTCATTAAATTTAGAATATGCAATGGTGAAATAAATAGATATCTGCGAACGATCACGAA